GTGTTCTTCCCCCTGAAACTAAAAGAGAAAAGCAAATTTTTACGAAATATTCCGGAAACCGCATGGACGATGTTATCTTTGTGAGAGCATTACTTGTCGATGTGTAACGAGGAAAGAAAATCAACACGAAGAAAAAAGCTCTATGTTCTGTCTTCTCTTTCAAAATGAAAGAAAACAGAGAGAATTCCGATAAAATCGCGTGGGAAGATATCTATCAATCGATTCCATGAGGTTTCAGGACGCAGAGGGCAATCGTTATTTTGGTTAACGGAACCATATAACCATTTATGCGACAGTATTTTCGTTGTGACGATGAGATGGAGAGAGAGAGAGAGAGAGAGAGAGAGAGAGAGAGAAAAAAGAACGACGGTGATCCAAACGAGGAGAAAAGAGCAGCAGTAGTAACGGTGAGCACGCAACATCCGTGGTACGTCACGATAGAGTCAACTGCAACTACTACGTATCTCACTCCCGATATGTCTGACTATATGTCGTTATTTCTACTAAAATCCGTTTGTTTCCAAACGGACGCACGACCTATACAACACGAAGGGGACAAAATGCCGCAAATATCTGGCGAAAACCGACACCCCTATTTTCAGTGAAACTCATTGTCACTAGCAGAACATGAGCTGAAAGAAAAACTGTATTCTAATTCGCACAGAAATTATATTCTCTCTTTTTTTCTCTCCATTAAAAAGAAACACACGTAACAAGATTTATTTTTCCCTCTCTTTCTCTTTCTTGACTATCGTTTATTAAATAATGAGTTTTTTTATTATGTTTATTTAATTCAGTCTGACTTTGATGAAACGGGAGCAGACGGAAGGAAACGACTTTGTTTGTTAAAATTAATACGAAGCTCCTATATTATATATGTAATATTTGTCTTCGACAAGGTAAAAGAATTTTCTTTTCTCTACTGCAACTTTAATCTCGGACAGGACGTAAAGTTGTCACATGAAAGATTTGATACCTCCTATCGTAATTCTTCACCTTGGCGAACGTTAATCTTTCAATTTTTATACTATTCACTCGGCTCATTTTCTTCAGACTATTTTTCTTTTCTGAATTCTCTTGGTAAGTTCGTTCTTTCGTTCATTCATTCGTTCGTACGTTGGTTCCTTCGTAAAACATATATTACATCTATTCACGTTTTAAATCCTTCAAACACTCGATGTCGTATACATTTGTAATTGTAGCTACGATAGAACGTATAACATAGCGAGAAATACGAATCTACAAGCTATAACTCGAACTCTTTATCTCGCGACGTTATTGCGGACGAATATTTTCCATTCGAGACTCTTCGCTGGCGTGAGAGAGTCACTCCATTAATCTTTCGTAATGGTTTCGATCGTCCTTCCGTAGCGAGCGTCCGTGTGTATATTTGTTGGTATGCGTGTGAGATATACACTTATACACATATGTATATGTGTATAATGCGTTCGCGAATGTTCGTTCGAAATTCACTTTGCTTTATTTAATCTCTTTCGTGCGTATCGTACTCTACTTTTGCTGCTCTATCGATTCAAAATACCGAGTAAATACGTAGGATCCTTTGATACGACCAAGTTTACTATCTTTCTTAAACACAAGTGAAGAAAATAAAACTCGTATAAGTAAAAAGAAAAAGTTTACAAAATAGCTCAGTGACCAAGCCTTTTTCTTAGTGACTAAATTATTATGGTTAGTGCGAAAAGCATAGCAACAGATATTATATGAAACCGAAGCAACGAAAAGAGAGCACGCTATCGTATATTTTCTCTTTTTAATATATTGAAGTATTTAAATTTATCACGAGTAAAAATACGTGACAAATTTCGAACGAAAGATGCCTTACGAGGAAATATTTATTGATACGTAATTAAAATGTTAATAGTATTTGTGTCACAGTTATTTTATTATAATTTAACGTTTAAATGATATATTTAACGGTACCATTGACGAGATAGAAAATAGGATGCTTACATATGTAAATTTTATGTATCATCGTCAGGAATATTATTGAATTATTTATATTTAACGCTTTAAAGAATCTAAAATAGAACGAGTGTAAACTAATCGTTTTTTATACTATTCAACTGCGATAGGAAAAAATTGTCGATATACCTATTCATTGGAAGGAAAACGTGAGAAATTTTCTTCAACAATAGAAATAATATATCGCGAAAGAGAGAAAAAAAGAGAGAGAGAGCCACGACTTATAGTGTTGTTATTTGCATTCCCGGAGATCACGTGTATTTTCGTGAAAGAAGAAAAATATGGAGAGAGGAGAGAAGAGAAGGAAAAGAGGGAAAAGGAAGAAGAGGAGGTAGAGGTTGTGGAATAACGTGGTAAAGAGGATGACGGGAGCGAGAATCGGGCAAAATATTGGAAAGCGGGCTGCACGCTGAGATAAAACGTTTCATAAAACAGACATCGATTCCATATTACCTAGCACCACATCGACGTGGATTTAAAGCTACGTCGTGAGATCCCCTGGGTACCCACCCGCCTGAATAGAAGAGCAACAGAGATGACGCCAAGCGAAAGACGATCCTGGAATATGCATTTCGTTATTGCATCCAGTCGCATTCTATCCATCATTACTTTTTCTACCCGAACGCATTCCACTAATCAAAGTATTTTTATCGAATACTTTCAAAACGACGATCTGATTAAAATCATCTTCAAATGTAATAAATAATATTATATCCGTGACCAGGAGAATATATCTTTAAAAGATCAAAAAAAGATATCAAGAGCCAAAATTATTTTTAAATATCTCAGTAAATATTATCAAGTTTATTTTACATGGCGCTAAGAATATCGTCATTTTGTAAGATAATAATTCAGGTTTACGAATTTGACCGTGGCGTTTCATAAAGCTCTGCAGAATTTCAGTTACATTTATGCTATATTAGAATTAATCACACGCACGTTATGTTGATGAACGTTATTTTACAGGTTCGAATAAAAACGTTTCATGAAATTATTAATATGCTATCTATTTATCTTGTTTGACAAAAATTTAACTTTACACCGCTTTTCCTTAATTTTCCACAAGACAAATATAATTAACATTCATTTAGTTTAAAATATTCCAAATTGTAACATAATGAATGCTCGCTAATCATAATAATTCAAACGTTTGAATAATATATCCAGAGAAATTATATGATGAAAAAAATATCTTATCAAAAAAATTTCAATATCAAATCGAAATTTATTCACTTATATAAATAATAGGAACCTAACGATTTGAAATTAACGATGGACTTCTTTTTTTCCTCTTTTGATTTTTTGTAAAGTCGATCGGACGGAAACGAGAGGAGTATTCATGAAATATATTGAATAAAAAGCGAACGATTTAATCACATTATTCTCTTACACGTACACAAGATTCTGTACTCCATAGTTTTCAATGTGATACAGCTTTATCTATACCAATATGATAATTATTCTATCGTTGTGAAATAATTCTATTTCCTGTTAAGTATTGGTAATATCCATATACCTTCTCAATTCTACCTAATTAATCACCATATACAAATAGATTTCTATTTTTTATTTTCTTTCTTGAATTTTTTTTTTTCAATTTCAATTTTATTTTCGTAAACCAATTCCCTATTCGAGTTCAAATTTCATTGGGCGGAAACTTTTCGGTACGCGTCAAGCTTCCTCCATATATATATGTACATATATAGAGTCCCACGAATTTTTGGAATTCTTTAAAAAAGTAGAATACCGTGACTGTAAAAGCGAATATGACAGATTTAAAGAGAGGAAACTGATCGATAAAATCAATCCAAAAAGAAATACAAGATTTGTAACATTTTTTCCTTTCGATATTTGAAAATATAAAAACTGATATTTCACACACACACATCATTCCTCATATATTTTTATATTGTACACCATTTAATATAATACATATGTGAGAGTGAGAGAAAGACGAAGAGTGCGAGTGTATGGTGTGCGTGAAAACAATTGATGAATGTGAAAGATGTCTAAGAGTATGCAGCGATATCGGTATAAGTGTGAGTGCACGCAGCGATATCGGTATAAGTGTGGGTGCGTGCAGCGATATGGATATGAGTGTGAGTGCATGCAGCGGTATGAATATGAGTGTGGCTAGTAAGAAAGAAAAGCGAGCGTGCACCCCGAAGTCTCTCGAATATTCCCGAACCGGAAATCGGGAAAAGGTCTTTTGTTTAATCGGTCGGGAATAGTCTGGAGATTTCGAGAATGATTGACGGAAGTGATTGGGACCATTGGTGGGGTGAATAAGTATATAAGCGCGGCGAAGGATCGCATTCTTGATTCGGTGCGACTATTTGTGAGTGAAAGAGTGTAATACGAGTGTACTTRAGATTTCTAACTATTGTTACTTACTTTCCTTTTTCTTTTCTATCTCTTTATTATTATAATTAACCTTAATAATTAAATATTTGTTATATTATAATAAATATTTCTATTTTAAATTTAAATAAATCTTACACATATATCACACATAATTCTTTGTTTATTAAGAATTATAACAAATTGTAAATTTTGCTCACTTGTGGTTCCTTCCTCTTTTGTTCATTTAGATATCCCGGATACAAGTGTGTATGTATGTTATGTTGTTAGCCTGACGTGCGTGCTAAAAAGAAAAGAAAATGTATAAAATCAATTCAGCAAACTTTTCGAATAAATTCCTGAAAATAAATTCCTAAAAAAAATAGATAAATACTGAATTATTATTTCAATTTCGAAAATTTCAATAGACAAAGATATTTCGAAATTTCTGCATTTATAATATCAATTATGTAATTGATCAATTGATCAATATGTAAATTCAACATTATACCAATTTAATTACTGAAATTAACAAAACACATTTATGATTATTTACATTATCATTAATCTTATACGTTTGTTAGATTTGATTAGATTTGGATTAGAAATATACCACCATATCAATCCTGAAATAAACGAAATAAATTATATTCTATTATATTCTTATATATTTCCAGAATTGACGCTCAAGAAAAGTCAGTGACAAAAGCGCAACATTCCTCGGATTCGGGAGTATTTGGACCACGAGCTTATTTTCGAATTTCCTTTCCCGAACCTGGAGGTCTTGTAATCGAAGACATCAAAAGGCACGATGCGGCAACTTATAGGTGTAGAGTCGATTTTCGAAAAGGGCAGACGCGAAGTTTCCGTTACAACCTCACCGTCATCGGTAAGATTACTACAATTTTTCTCTCTAAATTTTTAACTTGAGTTTTTTTAAAGTGAAACTTCTTAAGCATTTGTAACGACCAAATTATATGAAACAATATGAAAAGAGAAAGAAAAAGGGAGAGAGAGAGAGAGAGAATGAGAAAGTAAGATAGGCCTTACAGTTGATCGATAGTTAAACGAGATTATGGAAGATTCTAGTGTTAGTTGTGTTTTGTGTACGTGTGTATGCATAAGATAAGTTTTTACTTTATTATATACGATTTTAGTACAATTTCAAATATTAATAAAGTGCAATAGAATGTTCGAAATATCGTAAATAATTTGTAATTAATCGAAGAAAATGTATATTGTAGTCTAAAAGCACGGAGTATAAATATGACGTATGATTCTCTTTAAAATCCACTATTAAACTGGCTCATTGTCCTCTATATAAGTTAGATAAAATTCTTGTATTGATTTTTGTTTACATGAATTTTAGAAGAATAAATTCTGTTTATTAGGAATATTATTTTCACATTATACACACGTAACTTTCGTCAAGTCATATAAATAACAATCAATAAAAAAATTTTCATCGACTTCCTTAGAGGGCAATGAAACAGTTTACTGCTGGATTTTGAAGAAGACGGTACATCGAACTTGTATTCTGTGCTTTTAGACTCCAATAAACATTTCCTTCGATTAATTAACAATCATTTGAAGTATATCTAATACTCTAATGTACACTACTAATGTATTGGATTGTATAAATTAAAATACATTTTTTTAAACATTACTGTTCAATGATCACTTGGAGTTGATATTTTTCATATAATAAAATATCAGCTTAAAATTATTTAATGTTCTAAATATATTAATAGATACAGTGAAGTACAAAAATATTCGTACGGTAAATATATAAATAGAAAAAGATCTGTATTTTCTACATTATTAATTGTAATACAATTTATGCGATTGCATGTTACGTACTAATATTACTTAGTAAGTAATATAAATAAACAATAGTTAATTATAATATTATATAACTTACAAAAATTGAGTATTCGTCGAATGATAAAATTTCACCGAGACATAAGTATTCGTACTTCGTTAATAATTCATATAAATGTAATTGTTAGTATTTCGTAGGATTCCTTTTTTTGCGAACAATTGTACCTAATCTATTTGACATGAATAATATTAAGCTTTTAAAAGTATGCAGTGTTATATTTCTTCACTTTTCTTTTTAAATTTTTATTACCTAAATGTTCTTTTGATGTTAGAATATTTTGTACTCCACTTTTTTCGAATTCCCATCATGCATGTTCAATGAGATTTATATTAGGTAATTTTTTCCATTTATATATTTTTCTGCAAAATCCAGTCATTTTTTTGTTAATTTCATTAATGAATAGTTTACGTAGTACGACTTTACTTTTATATTCTGCTTTGTGCAATATACTTCGAATTGTTTTAGGATGTACTTTATTATGCTATTAAGTTCTCGAATCTCTGATAAAATTTCAAATGCACTGGTATCTGTTTTTTTTTTCTTAATCATCTTTACAATTTTTCGTTCCTCTCTTAAAGTCAATTTTTTAAGTGTATAACTTATTTTTAAATGACATAGTATGCCTTCTTTTTTAAATTTATTTATTATACTTTGTATTGTCAAACGACTTCTTTTTAATATTGTAGCTTTGTTTTGCATAAGATTTATCCTCCATAAATAAATTTATAATAATTTTTCACTCTTTTAATATTGTTTACTTGCACTTTCTTCCTATATTTCAAATTATTAACAATAACATGTTATATAACATCAAAAGAACATTTAAAGGAAATTTAAAAAGAAAAGTGGGGAAATATAACACCGGATATTACTAAAAGCTTAGTATTATCTATGCGAAACAAATTAGATGTGGTTATTTGTCATATGTGTATTCAATTTTTGTAAGTTATAAAATAATATAATTAACTATTGTTTATTCATATTACTTACTGCTAATGCTAGTACGTAACATGCAAACGTATATATTGTATTACAATTAATAATGTAGAAAATGCAGATCTTTTTCTATTTATATTCTTATCGTACGAATACTTTTGTCCTCCACTGTATGTTATTTTTAATTAAATGTACTTTGCATTTTTCTTACTTTAATGGGTATTAAATAAGTTCTGATACTCTTTATAACATTTAAATAACAGTATAAACAAAGGATGACTAATTGTTAGAAATAAAAAAGCGAGTATTCCCCTGTTTTTATAGTAATACCAACATATATAATTTTAAGAAGCAGACGTTTTCTGTACATTATTTTCGTATTTTCATAATTCACTGGTTATAAATAAAGCTTTCAAGTTAAACTCATTAAATATGTATATAATTAAGGTATACTAATGTATTTATTTGGAAATTTTCTTCAGTCGAAAGACACTAAATTAATAATTTTCAAGCAAAAATCTGCAATAGTAAGCTTAAAGGTGTATGATTTTAAGAAACACTCACTTATATTCATATATATGAATTAATCGAATATATTCCACATAATAACACGATTTTCACTTCTATTGTGCGTAGTTTTTTATTTAAAGAAGTTACAGTTAGTTCGATTCAGGAAACAATAATATGGAAGGTACTTTTAAGTACATAAAAAATGTTCAACAAAGGAACAAGACTCTTACTCCTGAACATGCATATGGAATGCGTGTTTTCATGTAAAATCACAACACGTATCATGATACTTATTTATCATAGACGTATTCTCGTATGAAACCGTAGAGTATGTTTCCTTTACTCGTATGATCTTACTATCAACCATGTACTGCCACTACTACTTTGTACTTCCGACGATGGCGAAAAGTGCACTTCTCGTGCAAAAAGAGGGGAATAGGTGAGTCTGATCAAACAAATGGTAACTGTTGAAAAATGCATGAGCCAATCGGAGACGTGCAACCTCGACTGACTTTCTATCTTCCTCTTTCTCTTTAACTCTATCACTCTTCACACTTTCTTCTCCTGTGCGTCAGCATATACTCGTGTCATGACGCGCACGTACGCGTATCGCCGCTTTTCCTAACCCTTCTTTGTACTTAATCTCCAGTGAGAATCGCTTTTCGCATGTAATCCTCCTACCACATTTACCCTGGTACATACTCGAGTTACGCTGAACTAAGTATTGTATAAGACTAATGCGATTGTTCGCATTACGAGCAGGAAACATAATGCTTTTTAAATGCGTTCAGGTATGATTAACATGGAAAACTTCGTTATCGTGGATATAATCGTAGAATATCATTTTGCGTGTCTTTACAAATTCAAAATGTGTATATATATATTATCTTAAATCTCTCAAGCATGGTGCGTTCATCCGCAACTCTATTTCTTAGATGCACCTGGCCGCGAATGACACAAAAACCATTCATGATGATTTTAACTACGACATTATGTGGGAATAGAGTTTAAAATTAATAAATCATGATTTTGTTATACATTTTTATGTAAAATCGAATTAAATGAGAAAAAAGTAAGAAATGAAAAACGTATAATATTTTCCAAAATCATGATATCCATAGATGTAACTGTAGTTACATAGCGTTTAAATTGATACTTTTCATTAAAGCCACTATAGTGGCGTACAGTGTTGAAAAGGTTAAAAATGGATTAAGTTTAAATTTCATACTTTTACTGATCGCCTCTCGAAAATTTATATTATTTCTTGTTAATCTAATTTTGTCCTATGTTAAATTTTAACTGGTCGTTATAGTTATTTCATGTGAAAGCCAATTATTTTATGAATTAATGAATTTCACGCTTTAACGATAAAATATATATTTTTCATCATATATACACGTTTGTGTGTGTCAAATTATATTACGTTTTATATAGTCGACTGAATATATAGCGGATTCAGAAATAACTCTTCAATCCAAATATTCTTTCTTTTCCGATGGTTCTACTTGAAGAGTTATATCATGGTGGTGGTAGTCGATCATAAAGTCCACGACATATGGAGGTGTAACTTTCATGGAAGGTCTTCAAAGCAGTCGGTAACAGTAGGTTCAAATCTCGGGAAGCGTATAGCTTGCGGCAGGAATATAACTTGGAAAATCGTGCTCTCTCGATCCTTCGATACCAAAATCCATCTACCGCGCCAATTCTCCACACTTTCCTTCACCTTTAACCCATTCGTATGAGGTTAGAAAGTGTGCGCATATGACGAGAGAGGGCAAGCGAGTGAAAGCAAAGAAGAGCAAGAGAAATAGGAATGACGGGAGTAAACTCGACGGAATGGAAAGAAGAAGCAAGGCCATAGAAAGAGAGAGAGAAAGAGAGAAAAAAAGAGAGAGAAAGTGAAAAGAGGCAAGGTTGAAAACGGCGCAAGTGTCGCAGTGCAGATTTCAAGAAGATCCTTCGGGCTAACGTGGAATTTCTTTTCCTCTCTTCCTTACCCGCCTCTTTTTCTCCTTAAAACCCTTTCTGTATCTTTCTTTCTCTCGACACTATGTGCACGCACCCTTCAAACTCTTAACTCGAATCTATCTCTTTCCCTCAATCTTTCTCTTTCCGTTTTCTCCTTTGTCCGTTTCATGACTTTTGTGTGCATCTGCGTGTGTGTATATGTATACTATTGCAACTCAGAGAAATACGACAACGACGACGACGACGACGAATACGTTGACGAAGAAAGCAGCCGCCCTTGTGCAGGACGACCGAGTCAAACGTACTTGAGGTATTCCAAAAAAAGAAACGAATGAAATTGGCTGCCGTGGATCGCTAGGAACCCCCGACGGAGATCGAGGTATTTTCATCAGAGAAGATTGGTTCCCGTGAGTTCCTAGATTGCGTCCCTCCAAGCTCCTGTGGACTTTACCAGACTAACCGCCGTCCTTCTGCAAACGATGCACTGCCAGAGACTTCTCTCTTCCTCTTTCCCTTTCTCCTTCACTATTACCTCCCTCCCACTACTTTCTTTACTCGCTTTTGCTATTCGCTCTTTCCTTTTTCTGCCATAT